TCCTGCAGAAACTGGTATGACTGCGTGAGAGAGGTCTCAGAACTTTTCTCCCATTTCTTAAGCTAGTAATCTGTTTCTTTGAACTGGAATCTCTGGCACCTTATATTTACAAAGATTTAAACACATTCTTTAAATCTCTCATGTCTCTGTGCTCTCTACCAGTGATGTGTAATGCCTAACAGAATTCAGAAATAGTATGTTTCAGTAATTTTTCCTTCTTCCTTTTTTGTCAGGTCTTATTTATTATTTATAAACCAAACTGCTTTCTGGAGTATAATCCATGTAATATAATCGTGGTCTTTAAGAAGAATTATGGAATGTATTTTCAAGGAATGGATTTCTCTTCCCTTTCTTCTCCTTCCCTTCCTTTCCCTTCATTTGCCTTTTGTTGTTTTCCTCCTCCCTCCCTCCCTCCCTTTCTTCCTTCTTTCCTTCCTCTTCTCCTCATCCTCCTTATTCTCCCTCCTTTCTGTTTCTTTCCCTCTCTCTCTCTTGTTTTAAAGCATCAGACTTGAGATTACTCTAAAGTCTATGTTCAACAGATTTAGAAACAAACTGGTAAGGGAAATATTTCTTCACAGAGAATTCAGCTCCTCTCTGGAATTCACTGGTTCCGAAGGTCATGGTGTTAAATGTTTGAGCTTGATTTTTGGACCAGATTACACATATTAATAGTGTTAGTAGTTCTGAGTTCACAAAATGACAAGCATCACAGGCTAAGAAGACAAATCAGGTCAGTGATTATATCCCCAGGTGCAGCCACCTCCACCTCCAATCCCAGGTTCTTTTCCTGGAACACTTTGTGATAAATTAGAATTTTCTTTCCAGAAGTTTAAGGAAACTCACTCTTTTCTTTTTTATAAATTTTAGTTCTTTATTTTTTCCTTGTGATGAGAAAACTCACTCTTTTCATAGTTTTTCTTAGTTTTATTCTTAGTGTGCAAGATCTTTAATCTGAATGCTGGTCACAGCAGAGAAATCCCCAGAGTAATAAATGCTGAGCATCAAGTTGCGTTCATCCTGACATAAGTGAAACATTCTTATCTTGGTTAACTTGTTCTTTACTGAGCTTTCCAATGTTGGTCATTGCCTAACCTTACCCATTTCAGCTTCCTACTTAGCCTCTGGGTTCAAGCTGGTTTTCTAAACTCTCAGGGGACTTGGTTCTCCCTCTCTATGAGAAGAGAATATGACGGGGCTAACCACCACAGGCTTCCCTCCTTCCTTTGCCACACACTAACAGTATGAAGGCAACTCTTGAGTTGTTTGATGCCTGGGGCCAAATCTAATGAGAGCCCCAGTTTGGTAGCTGCCATCATTGGCAACCAGTCTCTGCAGGCTCTCACTTTCCAGGTACCTGTGTGGCCAGAGTTAACAATGCTCTTAGCAGGCAAATGGAACATTTTCTTCTTTCTTGGTTTGGGCTTCTTCAACAGGATACCATACACTGGGTGGGCTAAACAACAAACATTTAGTTCTCACAGTTCTGGAGCCTGGGAAATCCAAGACCAAGGTGCCAACACATTCAATGTCTGGTGCAGGCCCACTTCCTGTTTCATAGATACTGTCTTTTCAGTGTGTCCTCACTTGGGGAAGGGACAAGAGAGTTCTCTGGGATCTCATTATGAGGGCACTAATCCCATTCATGAGGGCTCCACCCCATGACTTAATTGCCTCCCAAAGGCCTCACATCTTAATACCGTCACATTTGGGGTTAGGATCTAACATGAGCTTTGCGGGGACACAAACATTCAGTCTGTAGCATCCAACCTTTGTATTTTATAACATAAAGGGGAAGGTGAATGTGATTGCCTTTGCTCCCTGTTTCTCTCTGTCACTTATTACCTACTTTTGTACTTGTTAATTTTGGTGTGACTCTGATTCCTTGACTCACTGTCCAGAATTTTGGCTTGAAACAGTCTCTTCGGAATGAAAAGTCAGCCTCCTACCTTTTGGAAGTAGAAGAGAGGGGATTTTTGTTCTCTCTGAAGAATCTAGAGAGCACCCATATGGGTATATTATATAATAGTTCTTAATACTTACTGAGCTATGAATAAATATGTATTGAATACCCACTATATAAGGTATTGCCAGAGATACTTTATATATATATATTTGCTTTTAATCCTTAAACCAAATCTGAGATGGATCTTCTCTGATTCAGTTATTGATAAGGACACAGCTCAGTTTTCCTATTTGAAAACTGCTTCCTAAATCACAAATGCTCAAGGTGGATTTGAACTAAGACCTGCCCCAATCTAAAGAGTTGCTGGGGTAGCATCTCCCTGTTTATATAGGTAAAAGAGACTATTAATTAAAACTGTTAAATTAGACTGTAAATGGTTAATATTGAGGAATGAAGGTTTACCTTTTGGATGTATGTAGTGCTCCTCTTTGTCAGTGTGGGTTTAGGATGATGATCATGATTCTTTCCTGTCCCATAGTTTTAACCCAACTGAACAAACAAAGACAAAAGAATCAAGCAGATCAAGATCAAATCATTAGCATAATTATTGATCAGGCCAAATTGGAGATCTTAGCTTAGGCTTACTACCATAATTGAACTTCCTGGAATCCTCAGCTAAGTTTAGATTTTTGGAGATCCAATCCTAGGGAAAATCTAGTCTTCAGAGAAGATTCCCATAGGCAGCTTCCTTGTCACACAGTTTAGAGCCTTGTTACTGTGAAAAGAGATGATGGTTGGTCAGATTTGCCTCAGAAAAGCATAGTCTGAGGCATGACTTACCTTACAAAGGCAGCAGGAGGAGCATGCACCTCCCTGCATGAGGGTGGCCCCAAAAAGAGAGAGTTGAAGGGGCTAGGCCACAGGGACTCATTTTCCTCTCCTATTCTCAGGCATCATATCAAATATCACATCTCTCTTCCTTTAGGAAGAGCTAGGAGTGTTTTAGGTCAGTTTCCCCAAGAAACAGACTCTCTGATGCAGTTTTGGTTGTAGGAAATTTATGCAGTAGTGTTCTCAGGGCAACATCTTTGTGCAATGGGAGAAGAATTGAACAGGAGAAGTCTCACAATGAATAAGTTCAACTGAACCTCAGTGGATTCTACAGGGAGCTCTAGATCTGGGATGGCCTTTTATAATTGTCTTGCCTTAAGTCAAGGTGGATGGGCTTTTATATTCCCACACTGATCAGTTACTGGATGGATTTGCCCCTGGAAGAAAGGTCATGACATTAGGCAAGGTAGCCTTGTTCAGCTGAAAGCAATTCCCAAAGCGAAACAACTGAAGGTCATGAGCTGCCAACAGCAGGAGAATGAATATCTCAACACAGAATAGTGAGGGACCTGACAGCCCACTACAGTATCCACTACAGAGGGACAAAAAAAAGAGCAGTAGCTACTCTTCCACTTTTCTAACTACTTGTAAAAGAAGTTTCTGTATAATAGGCCCAAGCAGAGAAGGTAACATTGTTGAGAAGAATGAGAGATGAGTCCCTCTATCTAATCTGTGCAAAGCTGACCTGACCGTGCAGCCCAAAACAGCTCAGGACTCAACATCTTTGTTAGGTGACCATTGAGCAACTGTGAAAAGAGCCTGCATTCAGGTGAGACAGGCCCGAAACTTCCCAAAGACCAGGTACTTAGGCCACCAAAATGTAAGTCATTTTTACATTAGGAGGTAAATAAATTAATCCAACCATTTGGAGAGAAATTTGGTAAAGAATATGCACTTTTCGTCAATAGGGGGGAGGTTGAATAATTTTAGGTGCACTTTAATTTTGCAGCCCTTTAATGAAATTAAGAAGTCTGGGAGGTTGAACATGATATAATGTTTAGTGACCTAAGAAAGTTTTAGAGTATCTTGTATGGCATAATCCAAGGGTCAGCAAAATTTTTCTGTAAATGGCCTGATAGGAATATTTAATGCTTTGTGGGGGTCCCACTGTCTGTTGCCGCCTCTCAACTCTGCTTTTGTACTGTAAAAGCCCATCACAGACCAAAAAATAAATGAGCTGGCGGTGTCCCAATAAAATTTCTATTGATACTAAAATTTGAATTTTATATGCTTTTTGTGTGTCATGAAATGATACTCTTCTTTTTTCATTCCTTCTTTCTCAACCATTTAAAAATATAAAATCCATTCTTCCATTCTTAGCTCATGGATTATGTATAAACAGATGGTGGGCCTGATTTGGTCTATGGGCTATAGTTTGCTGACCTCTAGTATGTATAGTCCCATGTGAATACTTGTTATCTGTCGACACACATACATATGCATGTATGTGCCTAGAAGTATATACCCCAACTTTTAATGGCCACTACTCCTAGTAATTAGTGTGCAATGTGAGCTTTGAAGCTAGATTGCCTGGTTTTATAAGCCCAGCTCTGTCCCTTGCTAGCTACAGGGCTTTGGGCAAATTTTTTAACCTGCTTGGTGCCTCAACTTCCTTATCTTTCAAAGATGTTTCATTGGGTGGTTTCAAGGATTAAATGAGTTAATGAAGTAAAACATTTACAGATGTGCCCTGCACATAGTAGGTACACAATAAATTCTGACTATGTAAGGGAAAGTGATCAGACCTTCACTCATTTTAGCTTTAAAAAATTTATTATTGAACAATATTTCACATATCATACACTTCAACATTTTAAAGCATACAATTCAGTGGGTTTTAGTATGTTGACAATGTTCTACAACCATCTCCACTGTCTAAGT